TCACATTCGAGCAAACTCGAAATGCAGCACATGGGCGATTATTTAGAGCAAAAAGACGCAAAAAATATTTTTTTATAAATAAACAATTTGGTACTGATTTTTTGCTGTATTTATAGATTAAACTTGTTCCGGAACCTATATTGAAATGCGATGTAGAACATTTTATATATTTATATTTAGTTCCTAAATATATATGTTTTAGGAAATATAAGCAAGCATAATTTGGAAAAGGGTCACAAATATTTCTTTTTGTAAACAATCAATTTGTTACTGATTTTTGATACCTATATACTTCATTCAGAGATTTCATTTGTTCGTCGACTTATAGTGAAATTCGATATAGAACATTTTGTATATTAACGTCCAGTTGCTAAAATTAAGTATTATAAGAAGTATAGGCGTAATTAGGAAATGCTTCAAAAATGCACAACAAATTCTTTTTTGTATAAATAACCAATTTTTTACTGATTTTTTTAGTGATATATACCATATCTACAGATTTAACTTGTTTGGGGCCTATAGTGAAATTCGATGTATAACATTTTCTACATTAACACCTAAATTAAGTATAGTAGCAAATATTAAGTATAGTAGGAAATATGGACAAATTTTGAAAATAAGACAAAAATTCCTAATTTTTTAACGATATTTTATTTGATATGAAATCAGTATAAATATTTTGCATATTCGTGGACCTATTATGAAATTTAATTTAGAAAATTTTCTTCATTGACACTCAGTTTCTAAAGTTAATTATTTTAGGAAATATTGAGATAAATGGAAATTTTGGTCGATTTCAAAGAATAATTTCTTGTATAAATAATGAATTTGTTTATGATATTTTAATTGATAAATACCATATCTACGTATTTCGTTTGTTCGGAGACCTATAGTGAAATTCGATGTAAAACATTTTCTTCATTAACACTGAGTTCATAAAATGAAGTATACTAGGAAATATAGACATAATTGGGAAATGGGTCAAAACATTCAAACATTCTTATAAATACAATTCAATTTGGAAAATGTCATAATATTTCTTTTATAAATAACAAAATTTGTTGCTGACATTTTTATTGATATGTAATGTATCTACAGATTTTTCTTGTTCGGCAACCTATAGTGAAATTCCATGTAGAACATTTTCTCCTTTAATAATTTGTTCCTAAAATGAAGTATTTTAGGAAATATTGACATATTTTAAAAATGTGATGAAATATGTCATATAATTTTTAAACTGTATAAATTCTCAATTTATTTTCGAATTTTTTATGGGCATATACTATATCTAAAGATTTAAGTTTTACAATAATTTTCGCGTTTTTCCATCACAATGCAATTGACCACACTCTCTTCGACTGGCATTTGACAGTCAACCACAGACATCAAAGTGAATTTGCGATTTTTTTCTGTCTGTCGACCTACGGAACCCTAAATTCGATTGTTTTTGGGACTTGAATTGTCATTTGCAAGGATTTAAACAAAGTTCTTAACAAAAAACCCAATAAAACGTGAAATATTTAACAAAAGAAAACAAATAAATACCTCGGACACTTGTTGACGAGTGTCAGTTGTCATAGTCTCTCACTCTCGGACAAACAAAAAGAAAAGAAAAAGCTCTAAAGACAGAAATCAAAGCCAGAAGTGTTTTATGCAGCAGCAGCAAGTCTTTGGCAAGCAGAAGTGATTGTAGTTGGTTTTGGAAGAAGTCGGACGACATGTCGAAACCTGGTCAAAATATTGTAAGTTTTGGGACCGGTATTATATTGGCGACCCTCCGGCAAGGAACGGCGGCATTTGCCACATCCGATTATTTAATAATAGTATTTAAAATTTTTTAATATTTTGTTTTTTGATTCGTAAGTGTTTGTGTGAGTGAGTGTGTGTGTGTGCTCTTAATGTGTGTCACCCACCCGGCATCCTAAATGCAATGTTTGCTGTTTTTGTATTTATCCGGACCGGTAGTCAGCCACCAAGGCATCAAAAGTGTAAGACCACGTCAAATGTTTTAAATGGTATTGTTGTTGTTGTATTTGGGATTAATCGACCCCATTGTATAAAAGGTAATTCTTGGAAGGTTTTTGAAGTTTTGAGGACTTTCCCAACTACCCGAAACTCCGAAATTCTGGAAGTAATATTATATGAGGGCTTCCCAAAAAAGTGGACCAATATTGATTATTTTTATAGGAAGGATAGTAAATCCGGAACAAATGCAATTTACGTTTTTTCGGGAGGAAATCAGTATTTCCCTAGATATGGGGTTACAAATGTTTCAAAGGAACAAGTCCAGTTTAGGACCCCCTCGAGGATCGTTTTGAAATCCACATGTAGCCCTTGGGGCCCTGATTACAGCAGCATACTTTGTTTCTTGCGGAAATTGGTATTTCCGGAGATATTGGCCTCCAAGGTTTCATTGGGGCCCATGTATTTTCTTATTTTTTAAATTCTCTAAAGCAATATGGGTGTCAAATTAATGCATTAGAAACCCTGATAACAAAAATATAATATTCTTATTAAAGAAGGCCATACTTTCTGAGATATGGGTCTCCGCGGGACCCTTCTACAATTCCGAAAAACAATATGCGTGTTTGTGAGTAACCGGCCTTCGTAACTACGGCTAACGATCGGATCTTCGTAGGTCCATATCACCGGCTAAAATGAAGATCTCGCTAAATATAATAGTTAAGGAAGTGTAGGTTCCAACCACCAAATCCTCAACATGTTGAGTGTGTAACGTTCGAAAGCCTTTTCTAGTCGTCCGCGCAATTGAGTGACATTTGTGATAAGCTGAGAAATTGAAGCAAGTACCTCAATACGCTGACCGGCAGCACAAGTTGACCTTGTATAAATCGAAAGTTTGGTGGCTAGCTATGCTGCGCCATTGTGGTTTGCGAATGTAAGTAATACGCAGTTGAAAAATATTCAGATCCGTCAGAATGCCACTCCTGAAAACTACAACAGGGTGTAAAAGCAATAGAGCTGCTATAACAACAACAGGGTGTCTCCTCATGACCCCAGTGGACCATATTCATGAGGAGATAAAGAACATACCCGTCCATCGGCACAGTCAAATATGGCACAGTATTGCAGTACCTGATTGAGTGTTATAATCGGGACTATTGACGGCTATCTCTTCCTGATCTAGAGAAAGAGGCACAAAGGTACAAAGGTGTACCTCTAGATTTACAGGCTTTTCAGACAGGTCTGATTATCATCCATAAAGGTAAAATCGCATAGGCATTAGAACAATACCGTATGTATGTAAAGCTCGGAGAAAATTGCAGCTGATGGGTAGCAGACAGACACCATCTGCCTTAGCACAGCTCAGATGATGATGGTGCATTCGCCTCAATTGCTATAGGGCATGAATTTGAAGTTAGAAGCAAAACCAGATGAGCAGAAAAATTCATAACAGTATATGCTGCTACAACAACAATGTTCCTGAATTTGGACACATAGTAGTCAGAACCGGACAATACATAATAAATGTTCATTCTTACATTTCAGTTGCTATGCCGAAAATAAGCAAGATAGGACCATGTTTTAGCATGGGTATTTACACTGATGTAGTTGAGGAAACAATTTAGGAATGAAATCCGCGGAGAAACGCCACCTCCGAGAGCCGCAGAAGAGCGGCAGCAACCACGATAAACCAGAGATCTGGAGATGATATCTGGGTGTTGTAGCTGCCTAAATTCGTATTGGCCGCGATTTGATGACACGGTTACCATATATATACTCGGCGATTAGCAATAGTCTTCAGCTGCACAGCCAAACCCACTCACCTAACCCCATATTCACTTTGGACATAACCGGTACAGGTCGGAGCCTTTTTGAATTTGAAGTTAGAAGCAAAACCAGATGAGCAGGAAAATTCATAGCAGTATATGCTGCTACAACAATAACATCTAGAAATTCCCTATGAATGCAACCTATACAGATTGCAATGTTCCTGAATTTGGGCACATAATAGTCAGAACCGGACAATACATAATAAATTATCGTTCTTACATTTCAGTTGAAATGCAGAAAATAAGCTAGATAGGACCATGTTATAGAATAGGTTTTTTCCCACATAAAAAGTCTTGTCCCATTTTTGACGCATTTTGGCACCGAAGTGGCTGTCCGTTTCCATTTCGGTTTCTTTTGGGGGAAAATGGTGATGTAGGTCCTTGCATTGGCACAGTATTTTTTGTGCATTTTATTCCGGATTCCTGGTAATAAAAAAAATACTTCTAATATACTCTTCTTCTTATATATTTTTAAAAATCCATACAAAGATTCTAGCCCAGTTTTCCAACCTGATCATTTACAATGGCATAGACCCCACATTGATTTTGAACTCACCACACAAATTATAAGAGAATTAAAAGTTCGACCATGCCTTTTTTACTTTTTTCCAAACTTTTACATTATCTAAATTTTCCTACAGAGTTGTGACAGAGCCCCGCCACGCTAATGAGCAAATTTCCTTCCCCACAAAAAATGCAATTAATTTATGCCGCCACTACTAAACGACAATTATAAAACAAGTCATTTTCATTCTTATTAGTCTTCTATTTCTTTTAGATTTGTGTTTTTTCTCTCTAGTTTCTCATTCATTCAAAATTTATTTATCCATCCAACATCATCTTTTACACTCAACCATCGTATAGACTATTCAAATGAAATTGTGATGTTGACGAAGCGCCAAAAACAAATTGTCAGAAAATGCGCAATCATTTATTTATTTTTTTTCCTCAATTCCCGTTCAGTTCGTTGCGAATATTGATGGTGAACGGAAGGATATTTTTTACCATAATATAAGGCCCTTTAAGGCCTTATTAGCAGCCCCTTTAACAGCAGCTGCATATTATTTAACGAACAACAAAAATATAGTTTGAACAAAGCTTAGACCGCCCAAGACGCCGTCCCCAAATTAAGCGATTCATAATAGAAAATAGTAAAGTTTAAATTTTCAATACATCTAAAGGAAGGAAAAAAGAAGACCCTCTCTGCATTATGGCTGCAATGGAATTGGAGGCATTATTCTATAGAAAACGTAATATCGTTTATGCCTTTGTACGTCATCGTTTCTTTTTGATGTGCAAACAATCGGTAAGCAGCACTCAGCTGTGTGGATTTTGTTTTTGTCGTCTGGTGGGTGTCTTCATAAGAGTGTGTGTGAGTGTGCGTGAATGAGTGTGTCGTTTTTTTGTTTAAAACAAAAGGAAATTCAAATTTTGTATCACTAGACATTGAGGTGATGCACACCGATCACTTGGCTAATTGATTGCATTTTTCGGTGGTGGTAATTCCGTTTTCTCTTTACTTTTTTGTTTCAATTTTCTTGTACAGTGGAATATTTTGTGGTAAAAAAACGTTGCACTAGACGACAAATTTTTTAAACACATTTTTTAAAATATTTTATTACAAGTAACATCTCTTCGGCTTCAATATAAATTTCGATTAAAAAAATATACTTCCAGTTATTAATTTGGCGTGGACTTTTTTAGAGCGTGAATTTATTAACAAATATTTTTTTTCATGTAGCCGCAGGCCCTGGATTAAAAAAATATTTTTTCAAGTAGCCTCAAGGCAAAAAATATCTTTAAATTATTTTTTTAATAGCTAGAAGTCATGGATTTTTAGAAACTATTTTTATACACACTGTGGTACCGGGTATTATGTCTTTGTGCATATGTGTGTAACAAGCAAAAGGAAACGATATAGACACATGGTTCCTTTTGAGAATATGCATAGAATCACTTTTTAAGTCGATTTATGCATGTCCGTCCGTCTGTCTGTCCATGTTAAATTGTAAACAAAGTACAGGTCGCATTTATAATCCGCAATGGATGAACTTTGGCACAGGTCACTTATTCGGCCCAAGGACGAACCCTATTGAAATTGGGAGAAATCGGTTCAGATTTAGATATAGCTCCCATATATATTTTCGCCCGATTTAAGGTAAATGGTATATATCTTTCGATTTGCACGAAATTTCGCATAAAGCACTGAATTAAGTCTAGAATGATGTGTGCTAACTTTCGTGAAAATCGTTTCAGATTTAGATATAGCTCTCATATTTATTTTCGTCCGATTTCATGTAAATGGTGCACCAAGATCTATATATCTTTCGATTTGCACGAAATTTGGCATAGCGTACTGAATTGAGTCTAGAGTCATGAGTGTTAAGTTTCGTGAAAATCGGTTCAGATTTCGATATAGCTCCCATATATATTTTCGTCCGATTTTAGGTAAATAGTGCACCAAAGTCCCTATATATCATTCGATTTGCATGAAATTTCGCATAGCGTAATGAATTGAGTCCAGAGTGATGAGTTTTAAGATTCTTGAAAATCGGTTCAGATTTTGTTATAGATCCCACATATATTTTCGTCCGATTTTATGTACATAGTGCACCAAAGCTAGAATCTTGAAATTTTAGGTGAGGATCACTCTTATTTCAAAGGTGTCAGATAAGGCTGGGTTTTTGGAAATTGGTACTAGAACGGTAGGAAAAGTACTAAATGTGATACCATTTGTATTTGGCGAACCAGTAGAGTTAGAACTCTGAAATTTGGATTGAGGGTCACTGAAGGAGTGTAGAATAGATGTATCAAAAGGATTTTTGGAAATTCAAACTATGAGCATCCGAAAAGTACTGAAATGTACTAAATTTGGTACAATTTCGTAGCATGTGAATGGATTGAGCTAAAAAATTGAAATTTGGAATGCAAATTAAGGTTGAGAAGCAGGGTCGATATGAGGAGAAATTGGAAAACGTGTACTCATGTGTACGAAAAATACTATATAGTACTATATTTGGTACATATTTGATTTGAAGGTACAAATCGAGTTGGAATCCTGAAAATTGAAAGAACCATTAACGTCGGAGTGTAGGATTGGAATATGTAGGTAGTTTTGGAAAAATTGTACTTATGTGTACGAAAAGTACTAAATCGTACTATAATTGGTACAATTTGGATTTGTGTAAACCGATAGAGCTGGAACAATGAAATTTGGAGTCAGGATCATTGGGGTAGGATTAGGGTCAGGATTCAGTTTAAAAAATAATACTTATGGTTCCAAATGGTACTAAATTTGGAACAATTTGAATTTTAGGTGAACCAATAGAGCTAGAATCATGAAAATTGGAGTCAGGATCACTGTGGAGGTGTAAGATTGAAATATGTACGAAGTTTTAGAAATTCGTACTAATGTGTACTAAATTTGGTACAATTTAAATTGTGGGTGAAGCGATAGAGTTGAAATCATGAAATTTTGATGTAGCATCACTGTGGAGGTGTAGGATTGGGGTATGTAGGAAGTTTTGGAAATTCGTACTACTGTGCACTAAATTTGGTACAATTCAAATTGTGGGTGAACCAATAGAGTTGGGATCCTGAAATTTGAATTTGGAATCATTGTGGGGGTGTAGGATCGGGATATGCATGAAATTTTGTTGGTTGAAGAGGGTACTTATGGAAATAATGTGTGCTAAATAGAAATTTTGGATTTGGGTGAACCTTTAGAGCTCAAATCATGAAATTTGTTACTAAATGGTACACAAACTAAATTTATGGTCGATATTAATGTATGGATTGATTTTTCTGACATATGCAGTTTGCTGTGAAAATAAAATAATATGTTAATACATGTTTAAATATTTCCTACATTCGCTAACGAAGTTGCGGGCATATGCTAGTATGTACAATAGTCGTCCCAGTCCCACTTTACTATTTTCCTTACTGTTTTTTTTTCAAATAGAGGATATTTTGAAAAAGTATTTGGCGGTTGCTGGTTTCTTGGAGGATAAAAATATATTTGCAGAAATATTTCAATATAGGCTCATTTTTGGCCTAGTCCCATTCCATTTTTGGTGTATAGATGGTCTAGGCAAATTTTCCAACAGAAGTGGATGGAATTTAGCATTCTTTGGGTTCTACTTCTAATCTGAAAATACGGATAACGTTTTTCTGCCTTGTTGATGAAACAGACTAGTGGCATATCATTCGCTCAGTGTAGTCATGAACTTGAATAAAACAATTGTGAAACTGAAAAAAAGAAATCTAATTAAATGGTCCAAATGTTGGCAACGTTGACAATTTTTTTTTTAATTTGCTTTGTGGGATAAAAATAAATAAAAGATCTCTTCCCACGCTTGTAAACGATTTTTTTTTTGTATTTGTATGTAAACACAAATAAAAAAATTGTCATCATTAATCGCGTGTTTTTTCTTTCTCTCTCTCTCTCTCTCTCTTTCATTTTTTATCACTTTTCCGTTCCTCCTCCTTCTGCCCCTTACATTGCAGTTGGTCCGTGTGCAATCTCCGGAAGGCATTAAACGTATTGAAATCTCACCGAAGGCAAATCTAAAGGATCTATTCGAGTCGGTGCAGAAAGTCTTAAAAGTCGATGGATTTGGTCTGTTCAAGGAAAGGAATCTAACCAAGGAGGTAAATATCATAAGGGATATAATAATATTTGTAATGTTTAATAAATTGTTGACAGATCTATTCACATACGTCACAAGAGGTGGGCAGTGTACTGAAACATGGCGATATGATATATTTGAAACAAATGGCTGGTACCTCATCAAGGGTAATTATTTCCATTCATTCCATGACTTTTTAATTTATATTTTTTATTTATCTTTTGCAGCGTACCAGCACAACAGCCATTGATAATTTTACCAGTGTTAAGGCCATTGCAAATTCTGCAGCAAATAGTAGTGATTTTAAACCCTCTGCCGCTATACAAGAGGATGAGGTTGATATTCTGCTGGCCAAGGAGGATGGTCTAATAAAACGTGAAAGGGATAGCAAATTGTAAGTTCCACCATATTATGGAGGGTACATACATTTTAACATTACATTTGCAACACCTCGCAATAATCAATTTCGGCACTATATGGCATACACCATGATCTGTTTAAAATTCCGAACAGAATACCCTTTTCAGCATAATACTATTTTAAAATTTTATTAATTTTTGAATTTCTTTTTACAGATGCCGACATGCCGCCAATGGCTGTTGTGTTCACTGCTCACCGCTCGAGCCGTACAATGAAAATTATCTCAAGGAACAGAAAATCAAACATTTATCCTTCAATTCGTATATACGCAAACAAACATCGGGCATTGATCGTGGCAAATATATGGTCTTCGAAGATATTAATTGTCGCATTAAACCCGGCTGTCGTGAGCATCCACCATGGCCCAAGGGCATTTGTTCGAAATGTCAACCATCGGCCATTACATTAAATCGTCAAATTTATCGTCATGTCGATAATGTGATGTTCGAAAATACCACCATTGTAGAGAGGTTTCTAAATTATTGGCGTACAACTGGACACCAAAGAATGGGGTTCCTGTATGGTACCTATGAAGTTAATACCGATGTACCGTTGGGTATACGCGCCAAGGTGGCGGCTATTTATGAACCACCCCAGGAATCAAGTCGGGATTCAATTAAATTGCTAACCGATGAAAATGCCGATGATGTTGAAGAGGTGGCCAAGGCATTGGGTTTGAAAAAGGTAAAGATTCGATAAATTTTTCAAATAAATTATAATTTTTTTTTTCAAATTTTTTCTCCTAAGGTTGGTTGGATTTTCACCGATCTCATTACCGATGATCCTGCTGCGGGTACTGTTAAACAAATACGTGGCATACAAACCCATTTCCTCACAGCTCAGGAATGCATAATGGCTGGGGAATTACAAAATCGTCATCCAAATCCATGCAAATACGCTTCGAATGGTGTATTTGGTTCGAAATTTGTTACAGTTTGTGTAACCGGTAAGTAGGGGTCTGGTTTTTTTTTAACTCACTTTTATATTTAATTTTTGTTTCCACTTTTCCGTTTCCCTCTTAGGCGACAGCACTAAACAAGTCCACATGGAGGGCTATGCTGTATCGGCTCAATGTATGGCCTTGGTGCGTGATAATTGCCTATTACCCACCAAAGATGCCCCTGAACTAGGCTATGTACGAGAATCGACTGATAAACAATATGTTCCAGATGTTTACTACAAGGTGAGTACAGGGGAGGCATTAAATTTGGAGGTGGTCGTTTAATATTTAGAAGGTTTTAAAGGCCCAAGAAAGTTGTGGGTATTTAAAAACTAATTTTCAAGGTCAAGAGGTGTGGATTTTTAAAATGTTTTTTTTAAGGTCCATTGAAGACGGGGATTTAAGACCCAAAATGGAATTGATTTTTTTTTAATATTTCTTAACGCCTTACAGATTAGTGGATTTTTTAATGTTTTTTCAACATCCAGCATGGCGGGGATTTTTATAAAATATTTTTTTAATATTTTTTTGAAGGCCTGCATAGGCGTGAATTTTTTTTAAAATATTTTTACGAGACCCAAGGTCTATCAGTCGTCTGGATTTATTTGAAAAACATTTGTGATATTGCATTTTGGCGTGAATTAAAAAAGAAATGAAGACCCATCAGTGGTCTGGATATTAAAAATATATATATCCTTAATGACCTATTAGTGGGATAGTCTTCATTGAAGATGTTTCAAGGCCCATCTGCGCGGTGAATTTAATAAAACAATTTTGCACCTCTTTAACTGTTGTAGATTATTTTTTTTAAATCCTTCAGAAAGCAATAAAATATTTTGTATTAAATTTTTATTTTTATAACATTCATTGTTCCATTTATTGTTAGACACCGACATATACATACACAGATTTATATATAACAAGGATATTTATATTTGACTTAATTTTGATAATTCTTCATATTGTTTCTAAAATTCGCCACACTTTTTCGTTTTTTACTTTTGTTGTAGTTTCTCTTATATGTTGTTGCTGTTTTTAAAGAAAACAAACATTTCAGTAAAATTAACATCGATTTCTTAAAATTTAAAAAATAGTTTTGGTTTAGCGGCTCAAAATCGCACCACTTCTATAGTTGTGTTAACGTAATATTTCGTAAACTAATATTTTTATTTATTTTTTTTAGACAGATATCGATTTTTTCTTCTTCTTTTGTATTTCTTCTTAGATACAAAGATTAGATAAATTCATAGTTATTTTGAAATATGTTATCATTGTTCACTAACATTCAGGAGGAGGATAAAAAATAATTTCATTTCTTTTATTAAATATCAATAAATAGGAATTTCAATAGGGCCAATTAGCAATGCATTGTAGTGAGAATATTATGCTAAAGTTATAAGTAAATTAAAATTATAAGTTAAATAAAATTGAATTGAATTGAATATAAATTCAATAATTGGATACTTTTTGTCGATTATATAGGCTCCCCTGCCAGATGAACACTACTAAAAAAAATGTTAGACTTTTAAAGGTCCTATGGAAGTTAGCTAAAAATATATATCGAAAAATTCATTTTAAAAACGAATACCTTTAATATGGTTTAATATCATTGTTCTGAGCACATATAATTCGCTCATAGTATATAGTATATAAAGCGTTTAAGATGATTTGGCAAATAATTCCAAAAACGATAAACGAGAACAAAAAATGATTTTTGGTATATCACGGAGTGTACTAGAGTGATATCAATTTGAATATTGCTTGTCGATTTAATGAAAGTGAATTGATTTACCAGAACAGTGGGGCTGGATGTTTTCATTATTGTATAAAAATGTAGAACCAAACGGAGATTAATATAATCAAGGAAAGAACAACCAAAAAATGTATGCGCATATTGCAATACACGGTAGGATTCATACAATTTTATATCAAACAAATAGCGTATAATTTTTCTGAATATTCTTTCAATCTTATCAATATTTAAAGACCATGTTCCGGAATAAATTTCAATTCCATAGTTTAGAGGAGACATTAACAGGGACTGCGCCAAATGAGAACGTACATGCTTTGGAGTATAAGCCTTTAATGAGTATAGCCTTTTTAAAATGAAGCAAACCTTATTACCGAGGATATTATTTTTGGTCTTCAAAATTGAGATATGAATCCATAAAAATGCCTAGACATTTTTGAATGTGGACAATTTCTATCCACTGGCCATTGAGAAGCAATTGATGACAAGGGAACGTACGATTCCTAAGATGGAATGTAATAGCCTTAGTCTTAGAAGGATTAATTACCAGACTGTTAGTAATCATCAAGCTTCCGATAAAACTAAGATGACTATTGATAAAATCGTAGCGTCATACTTAAAGAGCAATAGACATAAGGTTGACAATAATTATTTTCACCACCACTGGGGTACTCCCGAGGTGACCGAATGAGTTGATGAATTAATACCATTTATAGAAACATACATTAGATATGTACGAGTAAACCAATTTGCTGGTACTTTATGAAAAATTATATTCATTTTGGAGTTTTGAAACCAGAGTGCAGTGGTTAAGGCAATCGAATGCCTTTTTAACAGATCTAAGGAAACTAAGGTGCAGTTAATATGCGCATCTAATTGTTTTCTAATTGAGTCCGTCAAAGATTATAAGGCTGAAATGGTACTGTGACTCTTTCTAAAGACAGGAAGTATTGTTATACGCCTCATTTCATTTAGCACTGCGTTCGGTATTGGAATTAGGCCTAATTTATGGAAAAGTTGAAACCATTAAAATAGTGTTAATTAAATGCAGTAGGTAAGGGGAAATCAGAGGAATTATTATTTTCAGGCTGTATTCTCATCATTGGAGCGGATTTTTATACCCTACACAACTATGTTGTCAGGGTATTATAGCTTGGTGCAGCCCTAAATGTTTGTAACGCCGCGAAATATTGGTCCTAGTCCCACCTTTAAGTATACCGATCGTCATATCTCGACTCGGCTGAGTCGATCTAGACATGTGTGTCCGCCCGTCCGCCTGACCATTATAATTTGTAAACACGATACAGGCCACAGTTATGGACAAATCTTCACGAAATTTTGCATATAGGATAGGTTCTGGCCAATAAAGATACCTATTGTTTTTGTTAAAGATCGATTAATATTTAGAAGATGAAATGGAGCAAAAACTTTATTTTTGTGTGATTTTCTGGTCGCTCCACAGGCCGCAATTATGACCTAAACATCGCGAATTTTTACATGGAGAAAGGGATCGGGTCAAAGAATATGCATGCCTGTTTTGATAAAGATCGGTCATTATTTAGCGGGTTAAATAGATCCTGGCTTTTGTGTGAAAAATTACAAAATTTGTATTCTATAGCGTATATATTTTCTCCAGAAGGACATAGACCCGAGAAGTTGATAATACATCCAAGAGGAGTGGCTGACCTTTAAATTGATACCAATTATAGTGTCGTATGTACTCGGATGTGGGAGTTACACTTAAATATTTACAGGTGCTTACGTATTCATATATTATTTAGTAAGCCATTACCACACGAGAGGGCGAAAATATACCGTTGATCCCTTTGAAATTTTCCATGAGGATCCAGGTATGGTCAAGCACAACGTCTATAATTGTCGGTGATGATAAGATAATAATATTGGGATGAGGTGGAGCGAAAACTTTTTTTGTGTTTTTTCGAGTCGATCTATAAGCCACAATTGAAAGCCGAATCTGGACAAGAGAAGAGAAGAAGAGCTGTACTGAATATTTGTATTATTTGCTGATCTCTAGTCGGTCACGAGGGTGTAAATATCGCGAAATATAGCCCAAGCTCAGAATATAGAACCACACAAAGATAGATTTTCGTGGAAGTTGTGTAGGGTATAATATACTGCTCCGCTCATCGGTTTTAACCCTTTCAGTGTCAAAGAAAAATTTTCTCGGAATAAAAATCTAAAATTTTGTATTTAAAATCATATAAAGGGACAGGGTTTAGAAAAAAAAATAGCAATTGTTATTTTAAACCTCGGCCAGTATCGTCTGTCTTTCAGCAAAAACAAAAACATCAATAGTGACGGTACATAGGGCAACTGAAAAATGACAATGAAAGAGAGTACTTTTAAATGTCAAATATATTCGACAAAAACACTGAAAGGGTTAAATATACATTTGTCAAGGTCCAAAATCATTTCACATTGTTAAAAAAAATATTTTTTTCAGGATTCATTCTTTTGTACCGATTTATAAATTTATTTTTTAAAAGATAATTTTTAGGGGGTTTTCGGTTTTTAGGTCTTCTCTAGCCCTCCTGTGTCATGCTATTGTTTTATTCCTCCTATTTATTTATATTTTTTCTCAATTTAAATCTTACT